ACCATGTATTATACTTCATATTCTTTTTTTTTTTTAAATTTATTTATTATTATTATACTTTAAGTTGTAGGGTACATGTGCATAACGTGCAGGTTTGTTACATATGTATACTTGTGCCGTGTTGGTGTGCTGCACCCATCAACTCGTCATTTACATCAGGTATAACTCCCAGTGCAATCCCTCCCCCCTCCCCCCTCCCCATGATAGGCCCCGGTGTGTGATGTTCCCCTTCCCGAGTCCAAGTGATCTCATTGTTCAGTTCCCACCTATGAGTGAGAACATGCGGTGTTTGGTTTTCTGTTCTTGTGATAGTTTGCTGAGAATGATGGTTTCCAGCTGCATCCATGTCCCTACAAAGGACACAAACTCATCCTTTTTTATGGCTGCATAGTATTCCATGGTGTATATGTGCCACATTTTCTTAATCCAGTCTGTCACTGATGGACATTTGGGTTGATTCCAAGTCTTTGCTATTGTGAATAATATTCTTAAACATTAAAAAGGTTGATAACAGTTAGTACAGTCAAGTATGTAGAAAAAACACCAAAGAAGTTATAAACTGTATATGGCATTTTGTGGTGGAACAGTTGATTTATATATATCAACATTTACATTGCAAATACCCTTAACACAGTAATGCCCTTTCTAGAATTTTACCCTAGAGCTTTAATATGTCAATAAGACAAGACAACCCAACAGAATGAAGACTCATAGCAACAGAAATATTAGTGGCCTAGAAACATACAAAAAGATTATAATCCTCACTAAAACTCACATATATGCTGTCATTTATCTGTAAGAGTGGTAAACTTTGAACAGATAGGTAAGAGCCACTGTGGGTGAGAGTACTGGCTGGTTGACAGGTAATTTGGCTGTACTTATTAAAGATCTTTTTCTTATTTTAATCAGCAGTTGCATTGATAGGACTCCATCCTAGTGAAATATTTATATGTCCACAAAGATTTCCAAGGCAGTTCTATTCATACCAGCAGAAAGTAGAAGGAGAAAGCCCTAAGCGTCCCATGTTCCTGAGAATCCAATAATGGTAGAATGACAGCTATACTACCAGGTGGCATTACTTATGATAAAAATGACCCCTGATTGGTAAACAAACTTCACATGGACGAGGAGGACTAGAGAGTAGTTAAATTGCCACATCCATACTCTGGAACTGTCATGATAAAAATTGACTGATATGTAAGAATGTCTGGGATACTTTTGTCTAAGTGAAAAAAATTAAAGTCCAGAAAAGCATAGTAGGAGCAGCCGGGCAAGGTGACTCATATCTGTAATCCCAGCATTTTGGGAGGCCAAGGCGGGTGGATCACCTGAGGTCAGGAGTTTGAGACCAGCCTGGCCAACATGGTGAAACCCTGTCTCTACTAAACATACAAAAAAGTAGCTGGGCATGGTGGTGCATGCCTGTAATCCCAGCTACTTGGGAGGCTGAAGCAGGAGAATTGCTTGAACCTGGGGGGCAGAGGTTACAGTGAGCCAAGATAGTGCCACAGCACTCCAGCCTTGGCAACAGACAACAGAGCGAGACTCTGTCAAAAGAAGAAAAAAAAGAAAAAGAAAAGAAAGAAAGAAATTTCTAATGTCTAGGTAGTCAAGTTTATCACTCTGTAGCTATGTATTTTCTGAATTTGGGGATTGCTTAGAAAGGCTATCAGCCACCACAAAACTATCAAAACTTTTAACTTCTCTATCACTTTTATCGTTATCTTGTATACATTTAAATCTCTAATCCATCTGTAATTTACTTGGGGGCTCAGAGTGAGATGAGTAATTTACTTTTATGGAGTTTCTTCCCTACATAAATGCCTAGGCAGATTTTTCTAATGACATCTTTTCTGCAGAGATTTAAGATACTTTTATTATGAAGTAACCTCTGACACTGTACTTCTAGGATCTGTTAATGGTTATTAACTGTCATTATCATTGTCATGTTTAACTCTGTGTTACTGGAAGCCTGACAATGGAATGACGGCTGTTTTACTGGGTCTGAGAGATAAGGAAGGAAGGAAACCCAAGTTTTTCCTACCGTCTACTCTCACTTGACACAACACTTCCGACACCAGATGTAATCCCAGGCCCCAGGCTGTTCCCCTACATACCAAGCCGTTCTCCCTGGACACCAGCTGGGTGTGCTCTTAAGTCAATTCCATTCTGACACCATCTACCTGGAGTTAGCGTCAGCTCCCACAGGTTGAGGGCTTAGTCCCACAAGACTGCCCCAACTTGAGATGTCAGTCACAAGTAGGGTGTCACCTATACATCTGACTGATGGGCCACAAATTGGGGGTTCCCATGAACCCCTCCTGAAGATTGATTAATTTGCTAGAGTGAGTTTCAGTTTCCCTGAGTTTCCCCTATTTGTTATAAAGGATATTACAGGCCAAGCGCGGTGGCTCATGCCTGTAATCCCAGCACTTTGGGAGGCCAAGGCGGGCGGATCACCTGAGGTCGGGAGTTTGAGACCAGCCTGACCAACATGGAGAAACCCCGTCTCTACTACAAATACAAAATTAGCCAGGTGTGGTGGCACATGCCTGTAATCCCAGCTACTCAGGAGGCTGAGGCAGGAGAATCACTTGAACCCAGGAGGCAGAGGTTGCAGTGAGCCAAGATCGCGTCATTGCACTCCAGCCTGGGCAACAAGAGCGAAACTCCGTCTCAAAAAAAAAAAACGGGGGGATATTACAGAGGATACAGATGAACTGCCAAATGGAAGAGATGCATAGGGCAAGGGATGTGGGAAGGTCCAAGGACCTTTCATGCCCTCTCTGTACTCACTACCATCCGGGCACCACCAAGTGTTCAGCTGTGTGCAAGCTGTCTGAACCCACCCAGTCCTTTGGTTGTTGTTATTGTTGTTTTTGAGAAACAAGGTCTTGCTCTGTCCCCCAGGCTGGAGAACAGTGGTGCAACCTTGGCTCACTGCAGGCCCAACCTCCTGACCTCAAGTGATCCTCCCTCCTCAGCCACCCATAGTGCTGGGATCACAGGAGCCAGCCACCACACCCAGCCACAGTGGGGTTTTTATGGAGGCTTCATCACAGAGGCATGATCATCACTGGCCCTTGGTAGTCAACTCAGCCTTCATCTTCTCTCCCCTCCCAGGAGTTTTGAGGATGGAGATGAAATTCCCAACCCTCTAATCCTGTCTGGTTTTCTGGTGACCAGCTCCCATCTGGAAGCTACCTAGGGGCAGCCAGCCACCAGTCATCTCATTAGCATATAAAAGACACTTGAGTCAAGTCATCCAGGGTGCAGGAGGCTTGCCAGTGGAGACAGGACAAAAACCAAACATATATTTCAATAGTTCAAACCATGGACATTACTCCAGATAAAAATGACTCTGGATTGGTAAACAAACTGCATCTGGACTGGAGGACTGAGTAAACTATGACTGGCTGGTAGGAAGCCATGGATGTGGGGTTTTCTGAGCACATTGTCACTCAGTGATATGTAACTGGGCTCTTTTTGCTGGGGACCCTGGAAGCCATGCCACTGGGACCATTACAAGAGATATTGGTCTATGGAACAGGTAGAGCTTCCAAGCAACATTGTTTCATCCTAGCATCAGCAGTGTGGTTTTGTTCCCTGGCAGCGGAGCTCTCACGAGGGGAGGGGCAGTTTGGGCTACCAGCTCGCTGGATTGCTCTGGAGAAGCGCCCTCTGCTGGAGGAAACCTGGCCTGTCACTGCCCTCTGGCAGGCTGGCTTTCCTGTCCCCTCTCCTGCACAGCTGGGTAAACTAGTGCCACTGTGGCTGATTTTGGGCCTTACGGGTGCAACGAGTGGCTTGAATTGAAGGCCAGCAAGTGTGGGTGTGACAGGATGGTCTGGAGCGAAACAGGTGGGTTATTAGTCTTTGCGAGGAATTGGGGCCTTGTAGAAGTGAGTTCTTGTTTTGTGGTGACAAGGCCAAGCACAGACCTTTCCCCTTTTGCCTCAGTCAGCTGCTCGGGCCACAGACACCTCTGCTTCCTGTTTTTTGTTTCATGATTGATGAGCGAAGGTTAGAACGGTTTGTCATGGTTGATTAGCTATGTTTAGAACTGTTTGTTGTAGCTCTTGTTCCCCTGCAAAGCCTGCTCTGTCAGCCCCAGGCAGGACTGACTTCCTCCTTTGTGGACCACCCGGACCCTGTCCTACATCTTGTCACTGTCCCTATGAGGCAGGCTTCCTCGCTGCCTCGGTTTCATCTATGAGTGTGTAAGTGTCGCTTTTCTCCCTCCACTAAGCTGAAGCTCCTTGAGTTCAAGAGGTGGGGTTTTGTATTCGTCTTTCCTTCACAGGACTTACCAGTCTGCCCTCTATTCAGTAAACATGTGTTGAATGAATGAATTTCCAGGGTGAGATATTTCTCATAGCCTTCTGTTTCTCTTATAAAGTTCAAAATGATTTTAGTTCATATAGATGACTCTATGTAAATATACTATGCCAAACTGACTAGTGACTGGCATAAGAACAATTAATAAGAAAGGCCAGGCCGGGCACGATGGCTCACGCTTGTAATCCCAGCACTTTGGGAGGCCAAGGTGGGCAGATCACAAGGTCAGGGGTCGAGACCAGCCTGGCCCACATGGTGAAAACCCGTCTGTACTAAAATACAAAAATTAGCCGGGTGTGGTGGTGGGCTCCTGTAGTCCCAGCAACTCTGGAGGCTGAAGCAGGAGAATTGCTTGAACCCGGGAGGCAGAGGTTGCAATGAGCCAGATTAAACCACTGCACTCCAGCCTGGGTGACAGAGCAAGACTCAGTCTCAAAAAAAAAAAAACGGCCAGTGTGGATGCGGGAGCCAGACCGCATGTATCGACTCCCTCATTCCTGGCTGTGTGACCTGGCCTACTTACTTAGACTTGTGCGCCTCACACTCTTCATCTGTCAAGTTTCTCCTAGAGGGCACAGAGTAAGCCCTCCATGTGCGTGAGGTGCCATGTCCCGGTGCCCCAGGCTGGTCCTGGCATGCTAAAGAGGAATGTGCCATTACAGGAATCATTGACCTTCAAGGACGTGTTTGTGGACTTCACCCTGGAGGAGTGGCAGCAACTGGACTCTGCCCAGAAGAACCTCTACAGGGATGTCATGCTTGAGAACTACAGCCACCTGGTGTCCGTGGGTGAGGGACCGCGCCACGGGGTGATGCAGAATGCCCCCAGTACTGTGTTTCTTTCTCAGCTGCTCCAAGCTCCGGGGCCTGGGAACAATGAGTGTGGGTTACCACCCTCAGTGAGTTTGGGTTACAGCCCACTGTGCAGTATTCGTAGTCCCCGTTGGACTCTGGAGAGCATATTGGTGCCCTTGCTTGCTATGTGAATGTTCTGTACTGAGAGGCAGATGGCTGTGTGCTTGGAGCCATCCCCGAGGCCGTGCCACCTTCAGCCTGCAGGGGTGGGCCTAGGTTCTGGAATTCCTCAGCGTTAATAACGAAGTCCTATGTCATGTCCCCTGAACAGGGTATCTAGTTGCGAAGCCAGATGTGATCTTCAGGTTGGGACCAGGAGAAGAGTCCTGGATGGCAGATGGAGGGACCCCGGTACGGACCTGTGCAGGTGAGGACAGGCCAGGTGAGTCAGGCCGGGGAAAGGGACCAGGTTGGTTGGTGAGAGCTTGGCCTCTGGGATGAGCTCAGGAGCTCTTCTGAGAGCCCCGGACTTGTGGACATGCCTAGGCTCTGATGAGCGGAACTGTTGTCACGTCCAAATGAGTCCTCTGCCTGGCCACTGGTTACAGTCTCTGCGTTCTTTGCTTGGCGTTCCCATAGATTGTGGCCACTCTTGTTCTGAGATCCCATTTCTACCTTCCACCCTCCTGGCTTGTTAGTGAGAAGTGCCAAGCCTCTTCTCATTCCTCTCCCACCACCTTTCTGGAAGCTTTTAAGACTTATTCTCCCACCTTCTTGGCCTTTTGTATTTTCACCATGGTAGATGTATTAATAGATGTCAGCATTTCCTCTTTATTGGGCATACTGTGGGCCCTTTCAGGCTGAAATTTGGACTGTTTTTTTGTTTGTTTGTTTTTTGTTTTTTGTTTTTGTTTTTGTTTTTTAGCCTAAGGTAGATTATCATGCCTGTTTGTTTTTTTGTTTGTTTTTTTTTTGAGTCAGTATAGACACCAAAGCTTTGCCAGTGACCTTTACCCAACCAGGTACCCACCACGTTCTTGCCTGCTCTCACTTTGTGGTTAACACTGTAAACCTCACACCATTTTCTGTTTTCTCTACTTATTTCTTCTCAGACTGTTACAAATCTGACTTCATACTACTTGTTATCAGATTCCTCCATTTTTTAATACATCCTTCCCATTCAACTCTTGTTTTTGTTATTATCTCTTTACTTATTCAAAAAATAAACACACTCGAGAGGACATTACTCCCAAGGTGGAATACTTCAGTGAACCATATTTTAGTCCTGCATAGAGCTGCTTTTTCCTTGTCTATTTTTCCTGTGGGCTGCCTACAAGGATCCAGAAACTCTTCTGATACACTGGTCTGCTCTTTCTCTCCCCTTCATAGTACCCCCTTCACTGGCCCATGGCAAAGAAGCCTGTTTAGAATGGTGTTACTCTTCAGAGGGTGATCGATGAACCAGCAGCCTGGGCATTGTTGGGGCACTAAGTAGAAAATCAGAATCTGAGGCCTCACTCTAGATTTTCTGAAGGAGAACGTGCATTTCAACAAGCTCCCCAGGGACCCCACAGATACAGTAAAGCTTGAGAATCACTGCTCATTAGAGATTAATTTCAGAGCATCAGCTGTAGTCAGGTGCTGGCCCCAAGGACTCCTCAGATGGCTTCCTCCAGAACCCACTCCTCAGCACACACACCTGTTCTCTGAGATCCTCCCTGTGCTGGCATTTGTGGCTCCCACCATTCTGTAGCTTCCTCCAGGAATGTTTTGGGTGATGATAACCTCTTTGTTGCTCAGTGTAATTCCATATCTGCTGCCTCGAGATTCATCAGGATTTCTGGTGTGCTGATGGTATGCTTGCTTTCTTCCAGTGATGCCTGGAATTGTAATGACTGTATGTCTTGTTCTCATTTCAGTGCTGTCCTAGAAGGGAGGAAAAGCAAATTCAGGCACAGTCTACCCTCCTGAGTCCCAATTCCCTCATAAGAAAAACTATTATATTAAAATACAGACATTTATATATTCAGTCTAAGAGTGCAGAACAGTATAGGCTAAAAAGTAATCTTAGGTGCATTCCCAATCACAGCCCCCAAGGGCAGCTTCTTCTAAAGATTTCTCTTTTTGGTTCTGGTGAGCACCTCCATAGGTTTAGGGAATACCTTTATATCTGCATTTTATGGGTTTTCAGTTTTATCTTCCCTCTATGAAAAGTAAGGATTTCCCTCACACTTTGGCCTTCCACTCCCCAGCTCTTCACAAGTTTGTTATATGCTTATTTTTAGTTCCTTTATTGGTTACATTTGTAACTTTAAATAATATAGCTATGCATTTCATATGGTAACTTTTAAAAAAATATAGCTAAGTGCCAGTGGCTCATTTCTTTAGCTCAAACACAACCCCTAGACATAAGAGCCTACATCTTGTTCTGACTTGTTCCAGTGTGGGACTGATGGAAGACATTCAGTAAATATTGCACTGATTGATTTGGACCTGGGCAGAGGAAGGAGCTTTGTTATTCATCCACATACAAGTGGCTAAGAGTGACTGTGGAGCCACATAGCCTGGACTGGACTTCTGGCCACTTTCCTCACTAGCTATCACTGTGTACACATTGGTTGGCCTCTCTACCTGTTGTGGGGCTAATGATAGAACTGAATGATTTTCAGAAATTAATGAGTTGATCCATGTAAAGCACCTAAAAGGGTGCCTGGCATAAAGGGAACACTCAACAAATGTTATCACTGTTTTTATTGTTGTTATTATCCATAAAAAACGTTTTCTTTAGTTTAATGTAGTGGTTGTTAACCAGAGATGTATTACATAGTTACCTGTGGATCTATCAGAATATTCATGAGTAGGCCCCACTGTAGAAATTGTTTCAGAAAGCCTAGGGTAGGCCTGGTTGTGTGCATTTTGAGTGACACTCCAGAGGGTTCTGATGCCCATCTTTGGTTAAGATCCACTACTTGAAATATCTGCTGAGAGGAATTGCAAGGGAATAGGAGACAGCAATGGGCATGCGAGCAGGATGGGATGGAAAGACAGGAGCACATGGACTCACTCCTAGACAGCTCTCCAAACTCCCAGGGTTGGAAGCAGAATGCAGCAGAAAACAACTTGAATTTCTTCCCTGTTTCTCCATATTTGAATCTATTTCAGGAACTATATTTTTCCCTCTGTCTCCTGGATGAAACCTCTGGCTGGTCCCATAAGTTCACTGGTCATTCTGAGATAATACAAATCTTCTGGGAACTGTTCCTTTCAAGAGTAGCCTCATTACAGTAATGAAAACTGTCCAGTCTCATGTAGTAGTACAAACTGAAATTTATTTCAAGTTTGTTGATCTTTTCATAGAAGTTTTAGCTTTGTTAATTTTCTCTACCATTTTTCTGTTTTATTGATTTCTTTTACTTTTATTTTCTTTTTCCTACTTACTTTCAGTTTACTTTGCTGTTTTTTATCTAGCTTCCCCCAACATTTTATTATGAAAATTTTTATATAAAACAAGTAAAAGAATTGTAGATTGAACACCCATATAATACCTCCACCTAGATTTATAATAACTATAAACATTTGGCTATATTTATCCCCTGTCCATCTGCCAGTTCCTCCAATTTCCATAAATTCGATTTATTTTTTTATAGTGCATTTCAAAGGAAGTTACAGAGATCAGTACCCTTAACCCCTAAGTACCTCCACAGGCATATCATTAATTAGAGTTCAATATTTGTTAGTACTTTATCATTAGTACTCATGAAGTATTTTAATAAAACAAAATGCCCTTATGGCACCATATGATCTTTGGCCATACATGTTAATGTTTGAACATAATTTTCTATATGTGTTTTTATATGTGATCATTATATATTTATGTTGATGTGACTGCATTCCTTTTATTTTTTCAAATGAAATTGATTAAGGTATAATGTACATACCATGAAATTTATCTTTCTTAGGTATACAGTTGTATAGTTTTGACAAATATATAGCTGTGTAATTACTACTACTACAATAAAAGTGTTGGACATTTTCATCCCCCACAAAAAACTCCATGTTTCCTTTTATAATTCAGTCTCTCTCCTCATCCCAGGCTTGACCTCTTTTCCTTCTAGTTTGGTTCTTTCTAGAATGTCATGTGGCTGGCTTCTTTCACTTACCTTAATGCATTTTAGGTTCATCCATGTTGTGGCATGTATCAGTTTGTTCCTTTTGATAGCTGAGTAGTGTTCCAGTTTGTCTGTCGATGGACCAGTTAATGCACATTTGAATTGTCCCGGGTTTTTTTTGGTTATTATGAATGAAGCTGGCAGACATTCTTGTACAGGCATTTCTGTGGATCTGTGTTTTCATATCTCTTGGGTAAATATCTAGAGTGAGATTGCTTGGCCATATGGTAAGCATATGTTTAACTTTATAAGACATTGGACCGGGTGTGGTGCCTCACGCCTGTAATCCCAGCACTTTGGGAGGCCAAGGCGAGTGGATCACTTAAGGTCAGGAATTTGAGACCAGCCTACATATAGTGAAACCCCGTCTCTACTAAAAATGCAAAAATTAGCTGGGTGTGGTGGCACATGCCTGTAATCCCAGCTACTTGGGAAGCTGAGGCAGGAGAATTGCTTGAACCCAGGAGGTGGAGGTTGCGGTGAGCCGAGATCATGCCACTCTACTCCAGCCTGGGTGACACAGTGAGACTCTGTCTCTCAAAAAATAATAATAAGATATTGCCAAACTGTTTTCTAGTGTGGCTGTACTATTTTGTTTTCCCACCAACAACACACCTTTCTAGTAGGTATATAGGGGGATCTCATTGTAATTTAAATTTACATTTCTGTAATGATCAGTGATGTTGAGCATGTTTTCATGTGCTTATTTGCCATCTGTATATGTTCTGTGGTGAAGTGTCTATTGTAATCTTTTGCCATTGTTTGTTATTAAATTGTGAGAGTTCTTTATATATTGTGGATATAAGTCCTGACCAGCTATGTGTTTTGCAAGTATTTACTCCTAGGCTGTGGCTTGATTGTTCATAACAGTATCTTTTGAAAAACAAATGTTTCTGTTTTTATAAAGTCCAATGTATTAAATTTTTCTTTTACGGTTCATGCTTTTTGTGTCCTCTTTAGAAAATCTCTCACTAACCCAGGGTAACAGAGATTTTTTCTGTATGTTTTCTTCCAGGAGATTCATAATTTTAGTTCTTATATTTAAGTCTATGACTGTTAATGACTTAATTTTTGTATCTGGTGTGAGGTAAGGGTCAACATATTTTTATATTATTTTTACATATGCATTTCCAGTTGTTCCAGTAATATTTTTGAAAAGAATATTCTTTCTTTTTCTCAGATCAACAAGTGATCCATTTATTATTTGACATCTACTTTAAAATGATGCCAGGTGTGGTGCCTCACACCTATAATCCCAGCACTTTGGGAGGCTGAGGCAGGAGGATCCCTTGAGCCCAGGAGATTGAGACCAGCCAGGGCAACATAGTGAGACCCTGTCTTTACTAAAAAATTAGCTGGGCATGGTGGTGCGCACCTATAGTCCTAGCTACTCGGGAGGCTGAGGCACAAGAATTGCTTGAACCCAGGAGGCAGAGGTTGCAGTAAGCCAAGACCGCACTGCTGCACTCCAGCACTCCAGCACTCCAGCCTGGGCAACAGAGCAAGACTCTGTCTCAAAAAAAAAAATGTTAATAGTAAGAATTTCACTGGGGAACTGGGATATATAAAATAATCTAATGAAAACTGAAAATTAAGAATTTAATATATATATAAAAGAAACACAAAATTTAAAGAGCAACAACAAAAGAAGAATTTCATATATAGACTTAATAGCAGATTAACCAGAGCAGAAGAGAGGTTAAGTAAGAAAGATAAGTTACTATCAAATATTCAGTCTATTCCAGACTGTTCTTTCTTAATTAACTTACTTTGGCATCCTTTTTGAAAAGTATTTGAACATATGTGTCACTCTGTACACCAATACAGGTTGAGTATCCCTAATCCAGAAATCCAAAATCCTAAATGCTCCAAAATCCAAAATTTCTTGAGCACCGACGTGGCATCCAAAGGAAATGCTCATTGAAGCATTTCAGATTTCATGTTTTCAGGTTAGGCTGCTGAACCAGTAAATATATAATGTAAACATTCTAGAAACCAAAAATATCTGAAATCCAAAAACACTGCTGGTTCCAAGCATTTTGGATAAATGATACACAACCTGTACCACATGTCTTAATTGCTGTAGCCTTATATTATGTGTTTAAATCAGGTAGTATGAGTCCTCTTACTTTGTTCTTCCTTTTTGTAATGTTGTAGCTAGTCTAGGTCTTTGGTATTTTCCTAGAAATTTTAGAATCAGCTTGTCAATTTTTGCAAAAAAGCCTGCAGGGGGTTTTGACATTGCATGGAATCTGTGGATAATTGATGTGCAATATTGAGTCTTCTAAAGCAAAATATGGTATATCTGTCTATTTCAGTCTTTTAAATTTTATTTCAGTAATATTTGATAGTTTTGAATGGATAGGTCTTGCACATATTTTGTTTAATTTACCCCCGTGTTTTATGTTCTTTCAAGGTAATGTAAATGGGGTGTGTGTATGTACATAGTTGTTTTGTATTTCATTTTCCTATTGCTCATTGCTAATTTATAGAAGTGTAATTGATCTTTCCATATTGGCTTTGTATCCTGGAACCTTTTAATAAGCTCACATATTAGTGCTAGTAGCTCTTTTATAGATGGTTTGGTATTTTCTACATAAACAATCATGTAGTTATGAACAAGGACAGCTTATTTCCTTTCCCAGTCTGGATGCCTTTACTTCTTTTTCTTACTTTATTGTACTTACTGGCTAGGATCTTCAGTATAATGTTGACTCAGGTAGGGAGGGCAACATATTTGCCTTGATCCTGATCTTAGGACAAAAGCATTTACTCTCTTACCATTAGGCCTAATTTTACTTGTAGGTTTTTTCATAATGGCCTGATAAAGGTTGAGGATATTTCCTTCTAATCCTGATTTTCTGAAAGTTTTTTTTATTATGAATGGATGTTATAAATTATTTTTATGGATCAATTCCTATGATTATGTTTTTTCTCCTTTAGACCATTACTTCCCATGTAATTATTGATATTATTGGATTTACAGGTACCATTTTATTATTTCTTTTCTGTTCATCCCACCAACCAAACTTCTTTTTGGTTTTTTGTTATTTTACTTCACCATCCTTCTCTTTGGAATATTTGACTATTTTTTAAATTAAACATTCTATGTTAAGATAATCGTAGATTCCCATGCCCTTTAGGAAAAAATAAAGATAAATCTCATGTATTCTACCCAGTTTCTACTAATGGTGACATCTTGAAAAACTATACTACAAATCACAACAAGGATATTGACACTGAGAAAGTCAAGATACGGAACATTTCCATTACTACAAGGGTCCCTCATATTGCCTTTGTATAGCTATACCCATTCCTTCCCACCCCACCCCTTCTTAAGCCCTGGCAACTACTAATTTGTTCTCCATTTCTATAATTTTGTCATTTCAAGAATATTACATAAATGAGGTCATACAGTATGATACTTTATGGGATTAGTTCTTTTCACTCAGCGTACTTCTCAGTTGGATTCATCCTGTTGTGAGTACCCAGAGTTTCTTCTTTTTTGTCACTGAGTAATATTCCACCAAATGGATGTACCACAGTTTGTTTAGCCATTCACCATTTGAAGAACATTCCTGTTTTCAACTTCATTGATTTCTGCTCTGATTATTTCTTTTCTTCTGCTTGATCTTTATTTCTAATATATGCATTCAGTGCTATAAATATCCCTCTCATTGCTGTGTCCCACAAATTATGATATGTTGCATTTTCATTTAATTCAAAATAGTTTCAAATTCCCCTTACGACTTATTTAGAAGTAAGTATATCTTTAAATTTCCAAATATTTGGGGTTTTCCAAGTATCTTTCTCATTGATTTTTGTTGTAATACTATTATTGCACATAATATGATTTCTTATAAATTTGTACAGGTTTGTTTTAAGACCCAGAATATGTTCTATCTTGGTGAATGTTTCATATGCACTTGAAAAGAATGTATATTCTGCTGTTGTTGGATGCAGTGTTCTCTGAATGTCAATTAGGTGAAGTTGGTTGATGGTGCTGTTCAGATTATCTATATCCTTGCTGGTTTTCTGTCTACTTGTTCTATCAATTATTGAGAGAAAGTGTTGAAGTCTCCAACAATAATTGTGGATTTGTCTGTTTCTCTTTCAGATGTATCCATTTTTGCCTCATGTATTTTGAAGTGCTGTTATTAGGTACATACACTTTTAGGATTGTTATTTCTTCTCAAAGAATTGACTGTTTTATCATTTTGTAATGTCCTTCTTTGTGCCAGAAAATCCTTCTTGTTCTGAAGTCATTGTCTGAAATTAATGTAATTTCTCCAGCTTTCTTTTGGTTAGGTTTTCATGGTATATCTCCATCCCTTTACACATCTCTCGACAGAGAGTTTCCTTATACCTCTCTCTACCCGCCCCCACCCCGCCAATTTCCCCTAATAGTAACATCTTGCATTAGTATGGTACATGTGTTACAACTGGTGAATGAATACATTATTATTAACTAAAGTCACATCTTACATTAAGGTTCACTCTTTGTGTTGTTCAGTTCTATGGGTTTTGTCAAATGCATAAAAATCCACCATTACTGTTTCATACAGAATAGTTTTACCGCCCTAAAAATTCCCTGTGCTTTGCTTTTTCATCCCTTTTTCACTCTCTCCTGGCAAGTACTGATCTTTTTACTATCTCTATAGTTTTGCCTTTTCTAGAATGTCATATAGTTGGAATCATATAGTATGTAGCCTTTTCAGACTGGCTTCTTTCAAATAGCAATATGCATTTAAGTTTCCTCCATGTCCATGGCTTGATAGCCCATTTCTTTTTATTGCTGAATAATATTCCATTGTGGATCACTTTGTTTATCCATTCACCTATTGAAGGACATCTTGGTTGCTTCCAGTTTGGGGCCATTATGAATGAAGCTGCTATAAACATCATGTGCAGGCTTTTCTGTAGACATAAGTTTTCAACTCATTGTGGTTCATTTCCTTTTGAAGTTTGTAATTTTTTTTACTGTGAACTCCTTTTCAGTGAGAGTTATTTTCCATGGAAATTCTGTGTACCCTAAGCTATGAAAGCATCACTGCAGAACTATTTGGATTGCCACTGCTGGGGCCCACTGGTTTCACTAATGCAGGAACAATTTATAGGTGAATTTATCAACTTCGGGGGTTTTGTATTATACTTCAAATGTCCATTTGGAATGCACTCCTACATGTGGTACAGGACTGTGGTTCTGACTTCTTGTAAGTAACCCCTGATTCTTCTTAACATTTTCATTAGCCAGTGGGTGACATCTTTCTAGTTCCTATTTTACACACAGAGATGTCCTTTGTGACTCCCAGCTTTAACCAGGTAGCTCAATTCTAATTCTCTGCACAGTTGTGCCCTGTGGCCTAGAATTCACTTCACACTCATGATTAGAGCCTTAGTCCCCCAACTGCAAAGCCACACAGCTTCAATTTCTGTTCACCCCCTCACTTTAAATTTCTTCTTCATTTTTGTCACATAATAAATTTATTTTCTGGTTTGAGCTTGGCTGCATATTAAATTATTTTTGTTAAATTTGAGCCAGCATTTCTTTGTACTTGCACTCAGGGGAGGTGGTGGTGGTGGGACATGGGGAGGGTCCATCCACATCAGCTCAAGTCATGTTGATAGGAGTTCACTGCTTGGGCATTTAGGGATTAATGTTATTCCATAATATTCCAGTGGAAAGACTTAACAAGTTTGATGATTCATTCATTTTCTTCTAGAAGTCTGGCAAGTTGATGAGCAGATAGATTGCTACAAGGAAAGCCAAGACAAACTTCTGTGGCAAGCTGCATTCATAGGCAAGGAAACACTGAAGGATGAAAGTGGTCAAGAATCCAGAACATGTAGAAAAAGCATTTATCTGAGCACAGAATTTGATTCTGTAAGACAAAGACTCCCTAAATATTATTCATGGGAAAAGGCATTCAAAATATAATTTAAACTTTCTTAGTCAAAATAGAAGCTATGTAAGAAGGAAAGATGATGGATGTAAGGCATATTGGAAAGCATGCCTCCATTCTAATCTTCATAAAGCTCGACCTGCAGAGAGATTTTTTGACCCTAATCAACGAGGGAAAGCCCTCCACCAAAAGCGAGCCCTTAGAAAAAGTCAGAGAAGTCAAACTGGGGAGAAACTCTACAAATGTACTGAATGTGGAAAAGTGTTTATCCAGAAAGCAAACTTAGTTGTACATCAAAGAACTCACACTGGAGAGAAACCTTATGAATGCTGTGAATGTGCAAAAGCCTTCAGCCAGAAGTCAACCCTCGTAGCACACCAGAGAACTCACACAGGGGAGAAGCCCTATGAATGCAGTGAATGTGGAAAAACCTTTATCCAGAAGGCACCACTTATTAAACATAAGAAAATTCATATGGAGAGAGACCCTATAAATGCAGTGTCTGTGAGAAAGCCTTTAGTGGGAAGTCAACTCTCATTAAACATCAGATCATTCATATGGGAGAAACCTTACAAATGTAATAAATGTGGGAAATCTTTTAGTGTTAAATCAACTCTCATTGTATGTCACAGAACATAAATGCGTAAGCTGCATGCTATTGTGAGTAGTGTGATGAAATTTTACATTGTCCTGCTGTTTCCTGCTCAGGATGCAAATCAGTGAACCCTTTTTTTTTTTTTTTCTTTTTTTTTTGAGACAGTCTTGCTCTGTCATCCAGACTGGAGTGCAGTGGCACAATCTTGGCTCACTGCAACCTCCACCTCCCGAGTTCAACCGATTCTCCTGCCTCAGCCTCCCAAATAGCTGGGATTACAGGTGCATGCCACCATACCCAGCTAATTTTGTATTTTTAGTAGAGACAGGGTTTCACCATGTTGGCCAGCCTGGTCTTGAACTCCTGACCTCAAGTGATCTGCCTGCCTCAGCCTCCCAAAATGCTGGAATTACAGGCGTGAGCCACTGCACCCGGCCTGAATCATCATCTTGTCCAGTATTATATCCATGCTGTATATGCTACCTGCCCATTAGTCCCTTAGCTGTCTCAGTTGTCAGATTGACTGTCATGGGATTGCAGTGCTTGCATTAAAGCTACCCTTACTGTATAATGACCCCAAAGTGCAAGAGTAGTGATGTTGGCAATTTGCATACGCCAAAAATAAGTTATAAAGTGCTTCCTTAAAGTGAAATGGTTAAAGTTCTTGACTTAATAAAGAAACAAAATGTATGCTGAGGTTGTTAAGATTTATAGTAAGAATGAATCTTCTATCCAGGAAATTGTGAAGAAGGAAAAAGAAACTTGTGCTAGTTTTGTTGTCACATCTCGAACTGCAAAAGTTATGGCCACAGTGCATGATAAATGCTAAGATGAAAAAGACATTAAATTTGTGGGTGGAAGGCATGAATAGAAATGGGTTCTGACAGCCATCAGGTTCGGTACTATTCACAGTTTCAGGCATCCGCTAGGGATCTTGGAACATATCCCCCATGGATAAGGGAGGACTACTGTACATTGTCATATTGTGCATCAAAGAATTCATTGAGTGTAATCATGTAAATCTAATATACATTTTTTTTAAAAAGCCCTCAGATATCATTTAGCCTTTGGTAGATGTAAGAAAACTCAAAAGTTACTCAAATCATTCAATAAATGATTATTTATTTATTTATTTATTTATTTTGAGACAGGTCTCACTCTGTCACTTAGGCTGGGATGCAGTGGCATGATCACAGCTCACCAGAGCTTCGACTTCCCAGGCTCAGGTTATCCTCCCACCTCAGCCTCCCGAGTAGTGGGGACCATAGGCACCCGCTACTACACCCAGCTAATTTTTGTATTTTTTGTAGATGGGGTTTCGCCATGTTGCCCAAGCTAGCCTCGAACTCCTGGGCTCAAGTGATCTGCCCACCTCAGCCTCCCAGAGTGCTAGAATTACAGGTGTGAGCCACTGTGACCAGCCAATAAATGACAAATTCCTTACTCATGAGTTTTAATACATTGTACATCAAATAATTTATGAAGGGTCAAAACCATGAAGATAGCAAAGACTGGAATGCCTTTGGAAAGAAGCGAGGTGTCATCTTGTATCAGAGCACTTATGTTCAGCAAACATCAATTTAATAAATTTGATAACCCAGTTTTCCTGTATAATATAAGGAAAATCATGTCTCAGATATGTCATCATCCATTTTATAGAAAAGATCGCAGGGGTTACAGTCAAGCACTCAATTATAAATTATACACATATTCTCTGTAGAACAGGTTTAGAAGCTTCTGAAAGTATAAATACATTTTATAATCAGGAGGATAGAGGAAAAACATATTAATCCTTACTAGGCCAATCTCCAAGCTTATCTGTAAATAGATAATCCCTAAATAGATTAGTTTCAGAGCACATGAGCCAGCAGGATTCTCAAATAGACCTTGCACATGTATTTTATCTGTCATCAGTACAAAAGTGGAAGCATCTTATGGAGAAAGATACTCTTCTGGGATACTTTTCTTGAAAAGTCAAAATTTATTCTCAAAAAAGTAATTATGGTGGGGCAATAGGAGGTTCAGAATTTCTAGGAAAGATCCTATAAGAGCAGTATTAATTGAAATAAAAATAAGCAACTTGAATATCCAGTAATAGGTGATAGAGTAACTTGATATATTCATAAATTGGAATCATGCTTCCCTTAATGTATTCATATTTTAAGGAGTTTGGAAAATGTTCATAGTAAACTAAGACTATAAAACTATGATTTGTGTTGTAAAACGGCATATATATAAGAAGGATATGGCCAGGCGTGGTGGCTCATGCCTGCAATCCTAGCACTTTGGGAGGCCAAAGCGGGCGAATCACCTGAGGTCAGGAGTTGGAGACCAGCCTGGCCAACATGGCGAAACCCCATCTCTACTAAAAATACAAAAATTAGCCAGGTGTGGCAGCGCGTGCCTGTAATCCCAGCTACTCGGGAGGCTGAGGCAGGACAATCCGTTCAACCCAAGAGGAGGAGGTTGCAGTGAGCTGAGATCGCGCCACTGCACTCTAGCCTGGGCAACAGAGTGACATTCCATCTCAAAAAAAAAAAAAAAAAAAGGATATGCGATATGCGCCATTATGAGTTCAGTTGTCTCTGGGTTGTAGGAATATAGGCAAATTTTTTATTAGTAAAAAGTTAGATACATGTGTATATATTTATATTACATTTCTATCTTGTCTGTGTTTATTCTCACATGTGGAGAGAAATACACAAAAAAGGAAGAAAAGAGAAGGAAGAAACTACACCCTACTATTAACACTTTATTTGGAACTAAAATTACTCATTTTTTAATGCTTCTGATTATACTCTCAAATTTCAAGAAACTACCAAGAAGGATTATTTAAAATGTCTTTTATGTAGTTTTCTTTATCCCTCCTTATTTTTCTATTCAGTTTTATTTTCAATATATTACACTATTCTACTACTTTCTATTCTGCACACATCATCCCACTTTGACACGTCTACACATATTCTCTATTTTCCATATGGTTGTCTGTTTGATCTCATTGTTAGAAGAATATATTCTACAACGTTGAGAAAGTGTATCTTAGGATTTTAACTGGGAGAGTGATTTTCTAATGAGAGCTAAAGCATCATCTTGCTTTTACACTTCATCCTCACAAATCCTGTGACCTAAATTGGAAGATACCAGATTTTACATATGAGAAAACACTGTAGTGAGTAACTCAAGGTCCCATGGGTAAGAAGAACAAACTGACAAAAACTCAAACCTTCAGAAACCACATATAAATTCTGATACCGGTGATTGCTATTGGATAACTATTTTCTCTTTTCCTCTTTTTTCCGTATTCCCTGTCACCAGCTCACAAAATGCACTGTGGTGAGTATCTCTTAATATTGATTTGTTATGAAAGTAAAGGCTTTTCATTTTATAAAAGCATTACATTGATGAATTCCACTGATTCTCATGGCAATACTATTAAGTAGGGAAGATGATGACAGTCCCACCTCCACCAATCAGACATACCCTCTGATATTTTACAGAAGAAAAAGCAAAATCCTAAGGAGTTTGTTTACTTAAAACTCTTGGAAAACAAGAAATATAGCAAGCATTAGCCACTGATACACATTCCGTGTGGCGCCATGCAGACAATCTGTGTTCCTCTGCGATATCTTTCATCCCTCTACACCTCACCCAATGGAAGAGAGGAGGGAACATCTTATGTGGTAATTTAGTACCTTCTCCTTTTTGTCTTGGATTTAAATGTTGAATAAGAAAGTAATGACCAGACCCTCATTTCCATGTATATTGTAGTTGGTAATGCCAGGCCAGCAATCATGCTGCAATAAGTTGTTGGTGGGGCAGGGGGTGGAGGATGGGGAGATAAATTGAAAAAAGTTTAAAGATATTGCCAAGCTGTGGAAACAATGAGTTCTAGATTAATTAAAATTCCAGAAAGTGAAGTGCTTTTTCTAGGGGAGTTGACAATTGCTGACCATTATCTGGGGGCACTTGCTGATTTTCACTGTGAGCTGAGGATGGGGCTTGGTCTAGGCTGATAGACTTTACAAGAGGAAGAGATCCAGAAGGGCTTTTGGAAGTTATATAGGGCTGACTTAGAAACTAGAAGAGCTTCAAGCACATGACTAGTTTTGTCACAAGACATTTGCTAAGTTTGTGATGGTATGGGAGGTTAGGGAACTGGGCCAGAAAGGCAGTCTCTCTACTTTGGAAGCAGTCCAAATAAGAGAAGGGGCTTGCCACAGTCATGAGAAAGAAGGCTAAAGAGCTCAGCTGAAAACTCATGAAGGGGAGAACTAAATCTCAAGCAGTTTTTCTAGACCAAACAGGTTCTCCAGCAAAAGTGCAGGAGGGAAACACCTGAGGAACAGTGATGAACAAGAGCTGGGTTGTGTTAGTAACACTAAAGCCCTGATTGTTTAAGGTGATCAGTGCCTTACCTTACCTCTCTTATCTTTAGAGGAAAAGATAAACCCAATAAACTACAGTCTCTACAGTTTGTTTTGTTTTTTTGACTTGGGGTTTCACTGTCACCCAGGCTGGAGTGTAGTGCTGTGACCATGGCTCACTGAGGCCTCAACCTCCTGAGCTCAAGAAATCCTCCCACTCAGCCTCCTACTCAGCCTCTTGAGTAGCTGGGACTACAGGTATACACTACCATGCCTGGCTAATTTTGTAGTTTTGTGGAGATGGAGTCTTGCTATGTTGCCCAGGCTGGTCTCTAACTCCTGGCTTCAAGTGATCCTCCTGCCTCAGCCTCCCAAAGTGCTGGGATTACAGGTGTGAGGCACCACACCCAGTCATCTACAGTTTTTATTTTTTATTTTATTTTATTTTTTTTTTTTTGAGACGGAGTCTCACTGCGTCCCCCAGGCTGGAGTGCTGGAGTGCGGTGGCGCGATCTCGGCTCACTGCAAGCTCCGCCTCCCGGGTTCACGCCATTCTCCTGACTCAGCCTCCCGAGTAGCTGGGACTACAGACGCCCGCCACCGCGCCCGACTAATTTTTTTGTATTTTTAGTAGAGACGGGGTTTCACCGTGGTCTCGATCTCCTGACCTTGTGATCCACCCGCCTCGGCCTCCCAAAGTGCTGGGATTACAGGTGTGAGCCACCGCGCCCGGCCATCTACAGTTTTTAAAATACACAATGACCCCAAAATTAAAGATTATTAGATGCGAGAAAAGGCAGAGAAATTCAGCTGTTAGGACAAAATGGGCCAGGCACAGTGGCTCACACCTATAATCCCAGCACTTTGGAATGCCGAGGTGGGAGGACTGATTGAGCCCAGGAGTTTCAGACCAGCCTGACTGATACGGTTTGGCTGTATCCCCACCCAAATCTCATCTTGAATTGTAGCTCCCATAATCCCCACATGTTGTGGGAGGGACCTGGTGGGGGGTAATTGAATCATGGGGGTGGTTATCCTCATGCTGTTATGATAGTGACTGAGTTCTCACGAGATCTGATGGCTTTATAAGGGGCTGTTCCCAACCTTGCTCAGCACTTCTCTGCTGCCACCATGTGAAGAAGGACATATTTGCTTCCCCTCCCATCATGACTGTAAGTTTCCTGAGACTTTCCCAGCCACGTGGAACTGTGAGTTAATTCCTTTATAAATTACCTTTGTAAATTACCCAGTCTAGGGTATTTCTTCATAGCAGCGTGAGAATGGACTAACACAGTAAATTGGTACCAGAAGTGAGGTGCTGCTATAAGGACACCTGAAAATGTGGAAGCAACTTTGGAACTGGGTAACAGACAGAGACTGGAACAGTTTGGAGGGTTCAGAAGACAGGAAAACGTGGGAAAGTTTGGGACTTCCTAGAGACTTGGAGGGCTCAGAAGACAGGAAGATGTGGGAAAGTTTGGAACTTCCTAGAGACTTGTTGAATGGCTTTGACCAAAATGCTGGTAGTGATATGGACAATGAAGTCCAGGCTGAAATGGTCTCAGATGGAGATGCAGAACTTGTTGGGAACTGGAGCAAAGGTGACTCTTGCTATGCTTTAGCAAAAAGACTAGGCTAGGCACGGTGGCTCATGCCTGTAATCCCAGCACTTTGGGAGTCTGAGGTGGGCAGATCACTTGAGTCCAGGAGTTCAAGACCAGCCTCGGCAATATAGTAAAACCCTGTCTCTACCAAAAATACACAAAAT